TTCCTGTTTTGGGCGGTTTATTGATAGAGAATTATGTCTTTATTACAAAAATGCTGAAAAACCGTGAGTTTTTGCCTTAGTTATTTTTTTATTGGCGAAAAACTGCAAACTCGGCAAATTTGGTTGCACAACTTCCCTTTATCATATACACCCAGCGAGATCGATGCCAGCTGACTGTGTACAAAACACAGGTAATACATTTGGGGCGAAAGTATTCAAAAATCAGTTTTTGGATGTTGCAATGGCAGTGGTGGGCCAGGATTTTTTTCCAATTAGTGACGGCATGACCTACCTGTGAAGTATTAACAAAACCAGCCGAGCCGAAAAAATCACAGAGGAGTCAAAAGCCGTTGCTGGTGAAAAGTTACCCCAACTTTTGGGTCAAATTTCTCGATAATGAAAAAAGATAACAAAAATTCAAATAGAACGAGCTATGTCTGAAGTGTTTTATCCCACGGGAAATCATGCACACAGACACACACACACACACAAAACGACAAAAGTGATTATAAGGGCAATCCTAGCGGAGCGGATCGCCAACACATTTGTTATCGTCATGATTACAACTTCAGTTCATTTAACCAGACATGTTGAAACTCTCACTTTATTTTTTATTTATTTATTGGAAAGAGTTCCTTAAAGTGAGGGAGTTGTCACCTGTGCATGCGTCAGATGGTCATAGCGTGTCATTGTTTAAAAACAAGCGTCTACCCATGAGCCTTTGCGTTTTTAGCATGTGTTGTAATCGTCGCTTGGGACTCAATTCCCACGCGTGTGCAGGTGACAACCCTCTCGCTTTAAGGCCTGTCATACCAACCCACCTAACCCTAACACTCCAGCACCCACACCAACCCCAATGTAATTCAATAACCCCCCCCCCCCAATAATCATAACTGACCAAAAAGGGGGTATATATAATTGAAATGGAGGAGGGGTACTGGAGGCGCAAGGTTAGGATTAGAGTTATGAGCAAGGGGTCCTAGGAAACTCTTACCATTTTGTTCTCCTTTTTGTTAAAATTATTTCTTTATTACTTTTGTGTTGATCGTTACATTATAATAAAAAATACTATTGTAGAGATCTATTATAGTTATATTTTTTGTTGTCAAATAGATGCCTTCCCAATAAATGATGCTGAAATCAGCTCCAGAATTGTTTGTGCTTTGTATCATGGTCTTCTAAACACATGCTTTCTAGGAATTTGAAGAATGTAATCTCTTCACAGCGTATTAAAGCTTTGTACTTGTTTGATGCTTTGATGACGAGATACAAACAATACAACCTGTATATAAGCTTTATTATTGCAGTATTGACACTAGTCAACGTGATACTTTTAAACTTAAACTGATTTATAATACTAAAACATACATAATAGAATTTAAAAACTACAGAGTTATGATTTGTATTGTTTTGGAGAGCTGAATTTTATGTTTATAAATTTATAAGATAATGTCAGGTAAATAGTTCATGAACTAGTGAATGAAGCTGAACCCAAATCCAGAGCCAAGTTAAGAATTATCACCATGGAAAGTGGGATAGAATAAAAGTATTATCATCTACATATTTAGTAAGACACTGTTACCTGGAGTTACCAGTTATTGTTTGATATTCTTATAGGTCCTGCCTCTTACTCTACATGATCAGCTGATTGGTAACCATAGTAATAATGTTGTTAACTATTCTTACTGTAATGTGTACTGCTGTTATTGGTTCATTGTTCATATGGTTGGTTTTCATCAGGTGAGTGACCTTATGCCATGTAAAACCTGTGTTCATGGTTTGAGTCAAAGTTCAGTTTCTTAAAGAAATGACAATGATGTTGATTTGGCTTATAGCAAATCAGTTGTTTATATTAAATTACTTGCCATATTTCTACATCAGATGTACACCTCTAATAGCGTGTGTAAAGTTTGACTTGATTTGTTTACCACTTAATGATGTACCCAATGTTGCTTCTGCAGACATCCAAGTCATGTCAAAGTAAACTGTTGGTTCTGTAATGAAGACACCATTGTGCCTTATGGAAATAAAAACTGCTGGGACTGTCCACACTGTGAACAATACAATGGTTTTAATGAGGTAAGATTGCAATCCCTGGAATTAATCTAAATTTTTGAAAATTAAAATTATTAACAATTATTTTTACATGAAAGTATAATGCATTACTATGGCAAAGCAGGACCTTACTGACCTTTAATTTATGAACTTTGACCTCTTTCAGGATGGGGACTACAATAAACCAATACCAGCACAGCATCTTGAAGAACTTAACCATAGTATTCTTATAGAATCTCAACAGCAAAATTCATCAATTAATCATGACAGTACTACAAATTTGTTATGTCAGCAGTGTAATAGGAATCAGTTATTGAAAGTGAGACAACTAGCAGTATTTGTACCTCGAAACGAGGTATGTTTTTGACTCCCATGTGCGAAGCACAAAATGGGAGTCTTTGCAGTTAGTGTGTCTGTGTGTGTGTATGTGTGTATGTGTGTCGGACTGTTCCACTGCTATCTCAAGAACTATACATCGGTTTTTGATGAAACTTGGTGCATAGATGCTCTGGGCCAATGCGCAGATTTTATTAGGTTTTGGTAAAAATCCATGCTCGTTAATTACCTAATTTGCATGATAATTAGCTAATTTTTAGCTGTTCTATGACTGTTCCACTGATATCTAAAGAACCACTCATTGGATTTTGATGAAACTTGGTACATAGATGCTCTGAACATATGCGCAGATTTGATTAGTTTTTGGTAAAAATCTGTGCATATTAATTACCTAATTTGCATGATAATTAGCTGATTTTTAGCTGTTCCATGATTGTTCCACTGATATCTAAACAACCACTCATTGGATTTTGATGAAACTTGGTACATAGATGCTCTGAACATATGCACAGATTTGATTAGTTTTTGGTAAAAATCCGTGCATACTAATTATCTAATTTGCATGTTAATTAGCTGATTTTTAGCTGTTCCATGATTGTTCCATTGATATCTAAACAACCACTCATTGGATTTTGATGAAACTTGGTACATAGATGCTCTGAACATATGCGCAGATTTGATTAGTTTTTGGTAAAAATCTGTACATATTAATTACCTAATTTGCATGATAATTAGCTGATTTTTAGCTGTTCCATGATTGTTCCACTGATATCTAAACAACCACTCATTGGATTTTGATGAAACTTTGTACATA